GCGCCCACCATTTCCCCCTGGTTGTTTCTGGGCTCCTCCTGGGCAGGACACAGCGTGTTTCCATCAGCTTCCCCATGCCCTGTGCAGGGAGCCCAGGGGTGAGCTCGGGGTTTGAACTCCAGAAACGTGGGTGCTGCAGTGCCAGAGCCCTCCTTGGAACAAGCTCTTCATGCACAGGCCAGTGCCCGATGCTGGATATTACCTTAGATCACAGGCATCATTTTTCTGACCTTGCCCCTGTGTTATTCACTGAGCTTTATCCAGTGAGCTCTTTTAATAACCAAAATGCCAATGACCAGGAGAAGAGCATGTTTGGATCGGACAGTGTTTAAAGCAGCTCAAGTGACAGTGCCCTTTTCCTAGACCTAGATCAGTCACTCTCCAGGACTACCGGCAAATTCCCCCTTTCTCAGAGTATCAGCATTGTATAGGGCTGCCTGCCACCTCTAATGCTCTGATATAGGCAGCACTGTGTTGACAGCCTTTGTTGCTGGACCTGTATGAGTGTGTAAATGTGCAGGATATTTGTGATGGGATGGGAGTGCTGGACTGAGGATGTATCAGAGGGCAGAGGATCTTGGACTGTATGCTCTGTGTGTGATTGTGTGTAGAGTTGTGTTTGGGTAGAGGGGTGGGTTTTTTTGGAGTGGTAGGTAGTGAAGGGCTACAGGGAGCTCCCCTCCTTCCTGGTTGAGGACATTGCTTGGTATATGTTGACAGTGGACACATGCATATTGGACATAGAGACTTAAGCTCTTTAAGGCATGTTAACACTTCTTTTTTGTGTGAGGGGAAATGGGCAGTTTCACCATATATTTATAGAGTATGCATATATTTGGGGTTGAAGGTATTTCCTGATCTAGATTACTTTTGCATGTTTGTCTCTCTTAACCCTTAGATTATCTAACCTAATAAAGGTTAGGAAACAGAAAGAACTTTGGCTATGAATAACTTCCCTATTAATAAAAGTGCTAGTCATTAAATGTTACACATTTCTTCTAGATCAGCTCTGTAACAAAAGCACTGAATCTTTTAAAACCGGAAATGTTTTGAAAAAAAAGCAGTATGATTTTCTTTTTTCAGGTATGAGGTACCATGATTAATTTGTTTGTTTAAGACTAGGTAAAACTTTAAATATCAGTTATGACGGACTACAGCAACACCGAACATTCCTCTAATATGCACATTTTTTTCAATTTCTGCAAAATACCAAATGCAGATTTGCTTGCGTAGATATTTATTTCTTTTTATAGCTAAGGAGTCACCTTTCACACTCTAGGCACAAATTACGTGTCAAAACTTGAACTTGTGTTCTGACTTGTTGTCCCTTGGATTCCCTCTGTTTCTAGTGCTATTGCAGTCAAAGTTGTGGCCCACAATATGTGTCTGGTTTTCCCCTTTTCAATATAACTTATCATGAATTACTGAATGACATATAGTCATTATTTGTCTTTTGTAGAATTGTCATTTCTAATGCTGGAAAGGCAATCCTTAAATTCACAGGACCATGTGCACAAGATACATCGTATTATCCCCATATTACATCTGCAATAGTTGCAGTACAGAAATGCCAAAGAACCACACCTGGGTCAAAGATCAAGTTATCAGCAGATACAGTAGAGGAACCTATAAATTCTAAATCCAAGTTCTTTAAGTGCCTTGACTAGGCAAGATTCCCTTACTAATAGCCCTGTCAGACTATTTATAGAAAATGCATCCACAGGAATAGCAAGATGTAAACCATTTCTAAATATATCTAGTCAAATCAAATGCTAATTATGCCATTAGTTAAGTTTGCCAGACAATGTTTTGCCAAAGATGGTTTGCCAAAATATATTTTGACTGAAGGAAAAGGAAACACCCAGAGCATCTGCAGACCAGACTCTATAAAAGTCTCTTTGGAGTGCTGTGCCCAGTCTTGACAGAAAACTTCAAGGTAAGTGTATGGCTCCTGTGAACTTCTGGGCAAAGCATATACCTATTTATTCCATTTAACTTCCTATAAACCTTGAATATCCATTTTTATCAGGCACTGTCTCTGTTGCTAGTGATTTTATTCTAGGTTTGAAGGCAGCATTTTTTCCTTCAGCTTATGTATTAACTCTGGATATCTGTGCAACACAAAATGAGTTGCTATGTTTTCAAACAGCAGTGACTGACTTCCAGCCTCTATCATCAGAATTAATACTAAAATTTACCAACTTTTAAGCAACAGGAAGAAAAACAGCAGTTTAAGATTTCTAGAAAGATGAACAGGCAATAGTGACATTTATATCTGTCATAATGCAAGATGAATTGTCCATAGCAAGTAAATTTTCCAGTGAAAAGCTACTATTTGCTATCAGACAGCATATTAAGAAAAATCAGAGACTTATTTAATACAAAGTCTGTGCTATGGCAATGTCCAAAGTCACTAGGATCTACAAAGTTGAAGTAATACTGCTAAACTGTACTACAATACTGCAACACTGAAGAGATGTTCTATACTTTGTTACACATAGCTAGATGTCTAAGAATGAATTACAGAAAAGTATACTAGTATTTTCAGCCAAGACTGGGAAGCTTAAATCTGACTTTTGACTTGTGTATACCTACTTAAATATTTGAAGAGATCAAAGTGCAAGAGATTTCCTGTCTTCCGCATAAAGCTGTTCACTTACTGACTCAACATATCTTTTTTCCTACAGAGCACTCTGCTGACTGTGCATCCTGTATAAGTGCAGACATGGCCTCTCCGGATGCTGAGATGGCTGCCTTTGGGGAAGCAGCTCCTTACCTCCGAAAATCAGAGAAGGAGAGAATTGAGGCCCAGAACAAGCCTTTTGATGCCAAGACATCCGTCTTTGTGGCTCATCCTAAAGAATCCTTTGTGAAAGGGTCAATCCAGAGCAAAGAATCAGGGAAGGTCACTGTCAAGACTGAAGCTGGAGAGGTGGGTAAAAACCAAGGCTTAAAAACTGTGTGTAGATCACAGTCTCAGCTCTCAGCTGACATCATACATTCTTTCTTCATCTGACAGACCCTGACCGTGAAGGAAGATCAGGTCTTTTCCATGAACCCTCCCAAGTATGATAAAGTCGAAGACATGGCCATGATGACCCACCTCCATGAACCCGCTGTGCTGTACAACCTCAAAGAGCGTTATGCAGCCTGGATGATCTACGTAAGTACCAGCAGCAGTCTTCCTTTGGGCGGCTAGGTGGAACTGCTCTGCCAGGCTAAGTGGAAGCCAACGTGCTGTCTCCCTTCCTCACAGACCTACTCGGGACTCTTCTGTGTCACTGTCAACCCCTACAAGTGGCTGCCGGTGTACAACCCGGAGGTGGTGTTGGCCTACCGAGGCAAGAAGCGCCAGGAGGCCCCTCCACACATCTTCTCCATCTCTGATAATGCCTATCAGTTCATGCTAACTGGTGAGTGGCTTGGTTTTCTTTAAAATTTTTTGGCTGTGAACACTTGTAGAGGAGAAAAAAAGTCTTTTCACTGCAAAATAGTTCAGGTTAATGGTGTTGGGAGGGTGGATGTCCTCTCATCATTGGAAAAATTTTCTTTACTGGACACCATCATGGAGATTATGTTTCTAACCATCAATGTTAGAATTTACTGTCCAAGATATTTGGGAGGATATGGTTTAACGCTGAATACATTGTCAGATTTTCCTTCAAAAGAATTCAGATAAACTTTTAAAGTTTTGGTTTTTTTCTTAGTTGGGAGGATTGTTCTTTGAATGATTTGCTTTGCAGGACTGAAAGTCACTAGGGTGGAGTTCTGTAAATTAGATTGGGTAAGGCGATTCAACATTGAAGCTTCCTCCCTTTTTATCCCATTAATACTTCCTCCCTCCCTTCCTTCTCAGAAACAATTTCTTCTTTTCCATTCATTAATATAAATGGAAGCAATAAGAAAGAAGGGTAGTGGAAACTTTTCCAGCATTGTCTAAATCTCCAGACTTTCAAGAAAGTGTAGATTAGTCAGAAAAATATTAAACAGAGAGGTATATTTTAATTTGTTAAAATAAATCTTGTTCCCCCCTCCCTTCCCAATTACTGTGTTTAATTCTGTAGCATTCATAGTGGTAAGAAGGTTAATTGGAAGATAATATGTAGAAAATGGAACAATAATAAATTGATGTTTAGTTAGTGTGTCTTATTATGGAAGTTTTTAGGTAGGTCATCATACATTTACTCCTGCTGGCACCTTCAAGAGATGTGCAGGACATTGGTGAACACCAATCCAGACTTGTCCACTGGGAGTTAGTTGCCTAATAGCTTAGTTTCTTCAGACTGCATGCAGATTATTGGAAAACACCATCCTAGAGGCATAGAAGAGATGTAAATCATCCAGCAAAAAGCACTTGCTTTGAAAGCCAGTCCAGCTACACAGCCTACTAAGGAAGGTTATTAAACACACATAGACTTTCTTCAAAACGTACCTCTGGCTAGTTAACTGTGAAAACACAGGAAGGCATGCAAAATTAAAGGTTTGAGAACAACCTGCAGCACACATAAAAACTTGTGCTTATTTCTTTTTCAAATACATAAGGAGTGGAAGGGCTTAAACTGAGTCTGTAGAGTCTGTACTGACACAGTCAAAATTTAAAAAGGCAACTTGGAAAATATAAGGTCATATCAGAACAACTAAATGAGATTTTCATTTGTTTACCTTAAAGCAGTGTGGCAAGTATTCATTTCTGGAAGTCCTCCTTATAATGGGATTCATCAGAGGAACTTCTTCTAACCGAAGTGTCCCTAAAAAAAAAACCAATAAAGTAAACATGAGCAAATTGCCAGGATAGAATTCAATCAGGCATTCCAGTGGAACTCTACAGATCAAAAATTCTCACTGAAAATTGCCTGGAAAATGGCAAGTGCTACACTAACTTGTAAAAAGAGTTGTAAGGGAGTTTTAAGGAACAGAATACCAGTTAGCTTGATTTTTGTAAAAGGCAAACTGCCAGCAATTTCTAAACAAGGCAATTACTGGGCATGTGAATACATGTGACTTACCAAGAAAAAAAAGATGCATTTTTTTAAAATGGGAAGTCTTGCATTACAAAACTACTGATTTTTTTTTAACAAAGGAGAACTGGTCAAGGTAATCTATCTGAATTCAGCAAAGATCTTCAGTACAGTTGATAAAGCAGCTATTCTTAGCATAATTTTTTATGCTTACATTTGCTACCAGCTATAGAATTAAGAGGATTCAAAAAGAACTGGTTAAGAAAAAGGAAGACATGATAAAATTTTTTTTTTTTCAGTTTTCATAGTGCAAAGATTTTATCAATGAAGTCATACTAGGATGCATTCTGGGACTTCTGCTGTTCAACATTTTTTTAAATGATTTGGAAATGATAATGCTTTCTGATGTGACAGAGTCTCTCAGGCCAGTAAAGTTGAAGTCTAACAGTGAAGAATTTCAGAGGGACTTCATGACATTAAATTATCAAATTATTATTCAGTGAAGTGGCAACAAAGTTTGGTCAACAAGAATGTAAAATAATGGACATCATAGGAGAAAAACCCAGAAGATGGGCTCATTGCTGACAACTACTGCTTATGTTATAGATATCCTTTAATAGAGCTTCAAAAATTTTGGCTCAGTGATCAGAAATCTACAATATAACAAGTTAGAAGTTTGCAATCACTGAGAAAGAAGTAGAGACCAAAACAGAAAACATCATTATATCATGATGCTTACCCAAGGAATATCTGCACCTTGTGTACCGTATGCATTTCTGCCCTTCCTTTTTCAAAAAAGAATATAGTAGAAATGGAACAGGTCAAGACAAAGATGAAAAGGTTTCCTAAAGGTATGGCAGGACATCTGCAGATAACTCTAGATAAATGATTCGTGCTACTTTATAAAATTATGCATGGCATGGAGAAGATGAATAGACAAGAAAAGAGTAAACAAGAAACCAAGCTCAGCATCAACCACATTTTTTTTCTTCACACAGTAAGTGGTTCAAAAATGGAGCAGACTGGATGATAAAAGTTGAAGCAATGCAAAAAGAACTGAGCATGGGTTAAAACACCAACCAGACAAAATTCTGGAAAGCAAACTCAGCCCAAGCTCTTACACATAAAACCATCAAATATAGCTTTACAAGTACCAAAATTTCAATATTTTGGAGTATGGGAGAGTATTCTGGTAAAAGGTTACTACATGCTTATGCTGTTTTTGTGATTTTCTTTAGGTAACACTCAATTGGCCGCTGACAGAAAAACTGTCTAGGGGGGCCTATGGACTGATCAGGAGTGGTTGTTCCTATGTTACAAAGTTTATGAGAAGCACCAGCTCCAGTTCACTTCACCTTACAGAGAGTTCAATTAATCAGCAACTCTACAAAAATACTCCTTAGTTAGAATCCTTTTCATAAAGAAAATGAGCAGCTTTACATGAAGAGAATATCCAGAAAAAGAAGCACGTATGCTACACCTGACATCCACATCAGTGTTGACATGTCGGCTTCCCAGGGACACCTGGGAACTTTAAAGTATTCAAAAGGAATTAGAGGTGAAGACACACAGATTAAGAAAGGAATTAGCTGCCTACTGCTAGTGCATCTTCTAAAAGCCCCAGGAATATTTTCATCCAGGATATTCATGATACGTATTAATAAACTGCCTCTTTCACAGATCGCGAGAACCAGTCAATCCTGATCACGTATGTACCCTCCCTACTCAGGTCCCTGTGGGGCTGTCGGGTGCCAGGGGACCTCCTGCCTGACCACACGCTCTCTGCCTCTCTCTTTGGTTTGACAGCGGAGAATCCGGTGCAGGGAAGACTGTGAACACAAAGCGTGTCATCCAGTACTTTGCAACAATTGCAGCGAGTGGGGAGAAGAAGAAGGAAGAGCAGCAGTCAGGCAAAATGCAGGTGAGTCAGGAAGAACAGACTGAAGGTTCGATGTGCAATTGCCATGTCAGCTAAACGCTGTAACTGAATAATTATCATCCTGTAGGGAATGCTTGAGGATGAAATCATTAATTAATAGATAGCATTACTTTATCCAATGGATACTCCCCAAACACACACAGCCTGAGAGAGGGAACTTCAACCTCAACGCAGGCTACCTCTCTCTCTGTAAAACCTTCAGCCACTAAGTCACCATGATGTGCAATCATATTTTTAGTGAAATAAATCCTGCATTCTTTGCTATGCAGGAATCAGCTTTCCACAGAAAAAGAATGTGCTGCATGCATGCCTCACGTATTGCCAGAGGGTTTTTGCGGTTCTTCTAGGACCTTCCAGATTCAAGCTATTCCTATCCAAGCCATACCTGCTCTTGCTTTCAAAGGGGGCCATCATTAGCTTCCAGAATTTACATTCCTTCCCAGACGTTCTGTATGAGACCAGTCCAATGCTTTTCCATTTCTAGAACAGGAACAGCAGAGTTTTTCACACTGACCAAATTCTAGCCATTGTCCAAAGATAAATGCTTCTCTCTCTCTCTCTCTCTCCTGCTCTTTAGTGGCTGACAAGGCTGCCTACCTGATGGGCCTGAACTCAGCTGAATTGCTCAAAGCCCTGTGTTACCCCCGAGTCAAGGTTGGGAACGAATTCGTGACCAAAGGTCAAACTGTAGAACAGGTAAATAGGAGATAGTTTGAAAGTACTTTTTCAGTACTTGAGCATTCTTTTTTGACCCTAGGAGGTAACTCCGGTCCTTTCTTCTCTGCTTTAGGTGAACAATGCAGTTGGTGCCCTGGCAAAAGCTGTCTATGAGAAGATGTTCTTGTGGATGGTTATTCGCATCAACCAACAGCTGGACACCAAGCAACCCAGACAGTACTTCATTGGTGTCCTGGACATTGCTGGCTTTGAGATCTTTGATGTAAGGAGCAAGGATTTAGCACCATTGTCAAGGGAGGGCCAGGGAGGGGTCATGAGGACTCAGAAACACCCTTCTTTTTAAGAAGATTCAGAAGTTTATCCTCCTTACCTGCAGTTTCTAGAAACCCCTCCCTCCTCTCTGTCACAGTAACACCCTCAAATGGCTTTACTAACCACAACCACTTTGATTCTAGCCTTGTCAACAGGTAGAAGAAAGCTCTGCTTTCCGGCTAATGGTCTCAGAGACCCTTGAGCTTGCAAAAGTCTTAGGCTTTGCCAACAAAGAGACAGCTCGAGGACTAAGGCTCACACAGATGTGGGCCAAAGGTGTGGATGCTCTTGGAAGAGCCAAGGAAAGGGTAGTGCTATGGGAAAGTTCACGATGCTGCAGCTAAGGTTACTGAAGGATTTGCTTCTGAGTAGCACAGTAAAAAAGAAATGCTACTTTTAGCTTGATTTCAAAAGTAATAACAATAAAATCTTTCAAGAACAGCAAATTTTGCAATAGAAGCCCTGCTAAGGAAACACATGCTGTTACAGTAGGGTTAGGAGTGGTGTTTCAGCTGGGGAACTTCAACAGCATTAGGCGAATGCTAGCAAAAACCTGTGGTGTTTGCCACACCTTGAGAACCTGTGCACCTCTCCTTGCTTTGGACAGTTCAACAGCTTTGAGCAGCTGTGCATCAACTTCACCAACGAGAAACTGCAACAGTTCTTCAACCACCACATGTTCGTGCTGGAGCAGGAAGAGTACAAGAAGGAAGGGATTGAATGGGAGTTCATTGACTTTGGGATGGACCTGGCGGCTTGCATCGAGCTCATTGAGAAGGTACCTTTTCCATACAAGTGTACGATGTATTCTGGAATTCTCTGATGTTTCTGGGCCAGATTCATCTCAGGAAGAACTCAGGGCCAGGCATTCAGTGTCAGTTAAATGAAATATTTTGCACTGAGATTTATTTTAGTCTGGGGAAGAGAAATTAGGAAATGCAAATCTGTGTCTTCAGTCCTGCATTACCTGCTCTTCAAGCCTGGAAAAGGTAGCCTCGACTCCCACCAACAGACTTCTTCAAAACCAGCTGGAGTCAGTCTCCTTTCCTTTTCCCCCTGAAGACTCAATCAGAACTCCACACACAAATTTGGGAAATAAATATCATCTCACCTGATTTCCCAAAACAACTGGGCCTCTTGTAGCTATTTTCCCCATTATTTTTTCCTTAACCACTTCTCCCTCTAATTCTGCTCCCAATTCTAACCTGAGCCAGACAGACGTTCTTACCAGTTCTGTGAAGGCAGTCTGCAGGAAGGTAAGGACAGGCAGAAATAAGCTCCCTGGCTGAGAACAGCTCCTGACAAACTTAGGCCCTTATCCAGGCTGAGATGCTACCAGCAACACACTGGTACCTTTGATGTTCATAGCACATGCTTCACATCATTATCATCTTTCTCTGTCACTACTTGTGGTACCTTCCAGCCCATGGGCATCTTCTCCATCCTGGAAGAGGAGTGCATGTTCCCCAAGGCAACTGACACCTCTTTCAAGAACAAGCTCTATGACCAGCATCTGGGCAAGTCCAGCAACTTCCAGAAGCCCAAGCCTGCCAAAGGCAAGGCTGAGGCCCACTTCTCCCTCGTGCACTATGCTGGCACGGTGGACTACAACATCTCTGGCTGGCTTGAGAAGAACAAGGACCCCCTGAACGAAACTGTCATTGGGTTGTACCAGAAATCATCCGTGAAGACACTGGCTTTACTCTTTGCCACCTATGGTGGGGAAGCAGGTAAGCTCTGTAAAATCCATGTTCTACGTGTTCATATTTTACAAAGGGGAATCCCAAAGACAATGTTAAAGGCATCTGCTCGTTTTCTTCAATTTTGCAGAGGCTGGTGGTGGCAAGAAGGGTGGCAAGAAGAAGGGTTCTTCTTTCCAGACTGTCTCAGCTCTTTTCCGGGTAACTGTAGAATTCATTATCCCTTTGAAGATGGAAAGCAGTTTTATTCTGAATCTGAAAGCTGTTTCAGTTTTGGTCATAGCTCTTGTCATCCTTGAAAATGCTTCCCTTGCCATCCTTGTGAATTACAGAACACCTTAGAACACCACAAAATCTCTACCTCAATGCGTGCACGGTCTTCGTTTTGTTTCAGGAGACAGAATGATATTGTCAGCCTCCTGGAACTGCCTAGGCAATTGTCTTAGAATTTTTTTTCCATCTAACTATTGATATTGCATCCTTATATTTTGGCAGATTTCTTCCACCTGCCTTAGTTTTGCTATTACTTTCTCTGAATATTCTACAAATATCTCCAAAGGGTCAAGTTCACCTATTTTGACTGGGAGTGAATAACAAATCAGCTCAACTTAAAATCTTCTCTGGAAACTTCAGAGATGTTACCCATACCTCTTTTACATATCTATGAAGATTTTCATTATTGTCACATTGTAGAATTTGAAAATAACAGATTGAACATCAAAAGCAAAAAAATTGCCTTGAGATTGTAAGGTAATGTTTTCATTTCAATGGGGAAAGAGAGTGAATGTTAAATTCCATCAAGTGAATGAATTCTGAGGTCAGTTTTCAGTTATGTTTTCAAGGTTTCCATTTGACTGAGGTGGATATATTTAGGGAGATTGAATTACTACCAAAAAAGTCAATTTATATGGGCTGTACAAATATTCCATCCATTTAGAAACAACATATTTAGCTGCCAAATCAGACGCTAGTCACACTTAGCCAAGACTACATGTCATCCAGTTAAAATCCCCAAGTAAATACCCCAAGAAATACCAGGTAGAAGGAAGGCTGTGAGATGGCAAGTCAATATTTGTATAAGGAGATCAAGGAAAAGCAATACTAACCATTATTCTACAAAAGAATTTCAAAACCAAAAATCTGTGAGTCTTCAGTTTCCAAGTTCCTCTTTGGGAGTTCTGCAAAATGTTTTAGAGAAGACAGGTCTGCATCCTGAAACATTCAGTTTAATATATCCACTATTAAGCTTCCAGTGGTTATGCTTAATAATAGAAACTTCATTTCATGGTCTCACAGGAGAATTTAAACAAGCTGATGGCTAACCTGAGAAGCACTCACCCCCATTTTGTACGATGCATCATCCCAAATGAGACAAAAACACCTGGTAAGGGGATCCAATAGGAGGAAAACTCAAGCCAGAGTTCTTCTCCTGAGTGTCAAAGAGCGGGGTGGTCACTAATGGTGGTGTTTGTTAGGTGCCATGGAGCATGAGCTGGTGCTGCATCAGCTGCGGTGCAATGGTGTGCTGGAAGGGATCAGAATTTGCAGGAAAGGGTTCCCCAGCAGAGTCCTGTATGCTGACTTCAAACAAAGGTAAGAGTGCTACACCTTTCTGCCCATTCAGACCAAGCTGAAGAACCTGACTATTGTAATATACTTGAAACATTATACTTTAAATTGGTACTGAGCTGTAATATAGAAGTTTCACCATCAGTTCATGATGATACAACATTGCTGAGATTAGGATTCTCTTGCACTTAGAGTTAATAGTAAAAACACTCTCCTGTTCTGAAAGGATGAACTGTCTCCAGGCATGAGACTCATTCAATGAGACAGTCCGAGAAGGCTGTGGGGTTCAATTACAGTTTTGGTGACGGGGATTTCTTCATGTTCTGTTTTCTTCTGCAGATACAGAGTGCTTAATGCAAGTGCTATCCCAGAGGGACAGTTCATGGACAGCAAGAAGGCTTCAGAAAAGCTCCTTGGGTCCATTGATGTGGACCACACCCAATACAGATTTGGTCACACCAAGGTAGAAACAAGACCTGTGTTAAAAGTTTGTCAGGGAGCGGCAAGGGCGAGCTGCTCCATCAGTGGCAGGGAGCGCAGCACAGTAACAGAGCTGGCAGGGTAGGGGCCTCAATCAGCAAGTGCCCAGCCCCACAGTATCCAAGCAAGGCAAGTGGGGAAGACCTTGGGATGGTAGTCAGGTTCAACCAAGAGTCCAGATCATCAGGCAGGTTTGTGACAATAAGGAAGGCCTGAGGTGAAGCCATAAAGCCTTGGTTTTTGAGATTGGTCAGGGTAAGACATAGGTAGGCTAACAAGGCCCGGCACTGTTCATTAATTCCTGGACAGATACACAGCAATGAGATTGGTCTAACATCAAGCCAGGAAGTAAGTCCACAGGTCATGGTAGAGCTCACTGGGGTCCATGAATAGGCATAGTTGTGGCTGAGGCTGTGGCTGAACTGGAAACCATAACTCATACCACATAGCTCAGAGAGGGATAGAATGCTTAGGGCTGAGCTTATAGGAAGCTCATAGGCCATTGGGCAGAAGGTTTGGGAGAGGGCCCAAGGTGAAGCTGGTCATGGCCATTAAAGTCTATTTCAGGATCCTGAAAGACTGTACTACCCGACAGTGACATTTCCTTTTCAAGGTGTTCTTCAAAGCTGGACTGCTGGGACTCCTGGAGGAGATGAGGGATGACAAGCTGGCAGAAATCATCACTCGCACACAAGCCAGGTGCAGGGGCTTCCTGATGAGAGTGGAGTATCGGAGAATGGTGGAGAGGAGGTAGACATTTCTCATATTAATTTGTTCTCATGGTACTTGACTAATGAAATTTAAATTCATCACACTGAAGCTATGCAACAGCCATGAGAATTTCATTTCAGGGAGTCCATCTTCTGCATCCAGTACA